AATTCTGTCATTCCTCATCCACTTATTAACTGGAATTTTTCTTTAAAAAATATAACCCCTAAGGCTACTTGATTACCATGAAATATAATTTACAGAGGAAAATCAAGATAAATAATTCTTTCCCTTAATTCCAATTACCTAGAGAGCTTTAGCAGTAGTGAGCAAATTATAAGCCAAGTGTTTATTTTCTAATTTATCTTGTTCTCCCTGCTTCCTGTAGTTAAATTAAAGCTGGTGAGATGAAGGTTTTTTAAACCATGAAAGGAATTGATATGCTTCCATTTGAATAGTACAAATTCACAGAAATACAAAGGACTTCAGAGATTATCTATTTTAACCTTCACAATGAATAAATATGGAAACTGAGGCATGGAGATATATTGTGTTCAGTTTGGTGGGTACACAGAGTCTAGAATCCAGACCTGCCAATACAAGAGTTTCACCCAGTAGCCTCTTAGATGATTCAACTGTGAAAGTGTTTTTGGAAAGACAATAGCTGCATTCTTTTATGCATCCATAGGTAAGGCAATGTGATGAGTAAATCACTTCAAACCAAGAAGAAATGTGAGTTATCCAGATGAACTGTTAGCTTGCCATAGGTTGTTTTAAAGAGAAGAATTACTTGGTGAAGTGAATCTCTCTGTTGAAGAATTCTTGATAGTTTTCACTAGAATAAAGAACTGACAGTTCACTTTTGAAAGTAAAAAGAATATATCACTTCTGTGTCTATTGAACTCTAAGTCCATAATACTGTACTATAATTAAGAGGTCATCAGATATGATTCCTACTTCCTAGGATGTAACCGGGAAAGTCAGGTATCCATATAAAAATAGTCATAAAGGAATTAGGACACAATTCTTGTCACAATAGCAAAGATTTCCCAAGATAGTTAGCTCATGGCCAAGAGACTGAGTAGGCAAAGGACAGTGTGGGCTTCACAGAGGAGGAAGAGCTGGGTCGTCCTAAGCATGGGCAGGCATTTGGGGCTGGGCAAAGCTGGGAGCCTTGATGAGGAGAGAGGAAATGCCAAAGGAGTGCCTAGTAAATCTTTCTCACTGGGTTAGAGATTTATTTTTAAAAGGTCCTAAACACAGAGCCTTTTATTCTACCAAGTAGCCACAGGCAGTAGATGGCATACAGAAGTCCCAGGGCATCCATCTGCCAGCTTTACCCCCACTCTTCCTGGGTCTGCCATCTCTTACTGGGAAGATTGGGGCCTCATCCCGGTTCAGAGTTTCAAACCCTTTTTCGTGAAAGTGAACACTGAAACTTTTGGGATAAACTAATCCTACTTGCACAGACCATTTCTCTTGGGTTATGTTCTAAATTCTTTCCCCCTCCCTAAATCTCTATCCCCAGTGCCATTTTTCCCTGTTCTCCCCTATTCAGTCCTGCTGCACACCTTCAAAGTCGATGAGAATTTATTAGCTGACATACCAAGCACCATCTGAATCATTTAAACATAATAATAGATAGATCGGGCAAACCTCCCATTCACTGGACTTACAACCTAGCGGAAAGACACAAACAACATAATATACGAGAAAATAAAAATAAAATTATTTCAGATTGTCAAGGGGGTACATGGTGACTGATAGCAAGTATTGAGCATGAGCAAACTCCTACAAATAGGGCCATTAACAAGGCTTTCCCAAAGAGAGGACGCTTGACCTGATACTTCAATGATGTGACAGTGTTGGCATTCATAGCCTGGGGAACATCACTCCAGACAGACAGAACAGTAAGTGCAGAGTTCTCCAGGCAAGACAGGGTTTCATGAGTCAAGGCATAAGAAGGAGTTCAGTGTAGGTGGAAAATAGTCAATGAAGTTGTGACTAGTGTGGAGTGAAATCAGAGGAGGGGAAAGGGATTATGTCATGTCAGATCATGGAGTTGCTGGTAAGCATCTGCATTTGATTCTGAAGGTGACAAAAAGCCATTGGAGGATTTTATACAAAGAAATGACAAAGTCTGAATAATGATCTTAAAAGACCACTATGATACACATAGAAGAATATTGACTGTAGTGTTGTGTGTGGGAGTGAAGGTCTGGAGAACAACTAGTTTACCATCAGCAAGATCAAGGTAAACATGTGATGTGTGCATGCAATAGAATGTCAAGGAGTTGTGATGAAGATCAAGCCGAGATATACATTCTGATACGGGTTATTTGTGAGTGAAAAGGCCAGGTGTTAAACAGTGGGGGGCGGGAGATAGAGTTAAATCCTAAGAGAGAAGACTTTCTATAAAAATGGACTCTGATAATCAGTTTCAGAGGCTTTGGCCACACAGTTAGCCACTGTAACTGTGGCTCTGTCTACATTCCTGATGTTTTCACCTGCAAAAATCAGCCGCAGGGTATTAATCTGCTGGTGCTGCTTGTACCTGAATGCTTGATAGGTTCTTAGTAGGACAGACTTGTGGTAAGGACCCTGTTAGTCACACCCAACATTTCCACAACAGGGTAAGTAAATCAGCAATGAGCACGAAGCTGAGCCCTAAGTGTCTTTCACATGAGAGGAACTGGGGTTAGCTTGTTACTGTCCATGGAAGGAGTTTCTTGCTGAATTTTCTGTCCTGAAAAGAGAATTGGGATGGAGCGAAACAACACTATCAGTGAACATAAGGGAAGAAATCTTAGAATTTCTTAGCTTTGTATCTTGATGATAACCACCTTCCTGACCACCAGATAATTCTGGTTTGCATTGTAAACCCTACCCCATGAAGTCCTGAAGACAGTCACTGAGCATCCGGTGCCAACCACTGATGATATCTGGACTGTTTCCTGCTGACCTTCTTGACAAAGCCCACCCAAATACCTGTGTCTAACCTAGCATATAACCCCTTCCTTTTGTCTCTGTATTTAGAAATCCTGTGTTGCTGCTGGCCAAGATAAGCTTCTATCACTTCTGTCCATTAATTTCTTAATAAATTGAATTCTTTGTTTTTTAAAAAAATCATATACATGGGATGAAAGATGGAGAACAAGGGACAAAATTCTCTTCCATTGGGACATCTTCCATAGGGTCAACAGTGTGTCTTCTTTGATTCTGCCTTCCTCTTTACTCAACTCTTTTTTTGTGTGTTCCACCCCTTGAATCCTTCGAGAAAAAAGCTTCAGTCAGTCTCATCTGCCTCATTTCCAGACTGGATGCACTGAAGCTTGTTAAGTACTTTCATCAGTTTCAGAATACTATCAAGAAACATCCCAGAAAGCAGCCAATTTGCAAATTTACAGATGGGACTGATACAATGTGGAACAGTAAAAGAGATTTATTGAGTTAAGAGAACAAGTTTGTTGATGAAATAACTCATCACTGTTTAACTCAACAGAAGTGTCGTAAAGTTTAACTTAATTGTTTCAGCACTTGCTATTTCCCTCTTCAATGAAGATGTGTGTTTGCAAAAAAATAAGAAGCACTTTTAAAATTTGGAGTGATGACAACATGTGTCTTCTGCCTGTGAATGTTAACATCTGCCCTTGGCAGTCCGGGTGACTGGAAATATTTGTCCATCTTTGTGTATGTTTTTATAAGACGCCTAAGACTAGAGGCAGGATCTATCAACAGTTGTTGATTTGACCAGTGTCTAGTCCTAGAAAAAGTTTTCTGGTGAAGACAGCGTGGCTGTCCCCTCAGCCCCAGGTGACAGGAGAATAATATAGATGGGAATAGAACATATATACCTGATCCTTGTGGGGTTATCTTGCGGATAGATGAATGGTAAATGTCACTGCTGCAATCTGCCAGAGCACTGGGATTTTCCCACACTCAGGGCCCTTTAGCACGCAGAGCTCTCCAGGACTTTGAAGAGTGCAGAGTAACGGAAGCAGTGTGTGATGAAACGTCACACAGCTGTCCCAAAAAATGTGCATCAGTTCATATTTGCTTCCCAGACCAGGTGGGCCACTTCTGAGAAGGAAGCCTTGATGATGAGAAAAGCAGCAGCTCTGTGATCATGACCAGCTAAAGACTTGTCAAATTTAACAACCTATCACAGCTTCTGAATTCTTCTGTGACTAAACCGCTTAGATAAGAATCTTGAAGTCATTATGTAGTCATTCATTCGTCATTCATTGAATGAATACTTACCTGAGTTGTGTGTTGACTTTGTATCTAGCTATATTACTGAATTTGGTTATTATACCTAGAAGTCTTTCAGTGGAGCTTTGGGGGTCTTATATGTAGAGTATCATGTCATCTGCAAATAATGATAATTTAACTTCTTCTTTTCCTATCCTTATTCTTTTTATTTCCCTCTCTTGTCTAAACGCTCTGGCTAATATTTCCAGCACTATATTGAATAGCTTACCTGAGTTGTGATACTAAACATTAAAGAAACAGAATTCAGTAAGACTCAGGGCCTCCCCTCCATACTCCTGATCTGCAGGAGGAGACCTAGGCAAACAGTAACAATCCAAGGTGGTCAGGGTGTGGCCAAGGCAGATGTGTAGGACATTATAGGACTATGGAAGGAGACATCAGACACAACCTCATGGTTGCTATGGGCATTCAGGAAAACTTTCTCAAGGAGTTGATATCTGAACTCATTCTAACAGGAAAATGGGCATGCACATGGTCCCTACTGGTGCCAAGAAATAACAGACACCATCTATCAGCTTTAAAAACTCCAACAAGGGCTGTATCTTGGGTCAGAGACTTCCATTGTATATTTGATGAACAGTATGAGCCTTCTTCCTGGTAAAATGTCTGTGTGTAATCATAGCAAAATTTCTCAGGGCCATGGGCTCTTAAATCCTTTGCACAAATTCTCTAGCATTTATGAACCCCAAGTTAAGGGTTTTGTCAAGAGAATTATATATGCCAAGCTGGAGGAGGCTTCAGAGGCCGCCTAGTCCTTCCCCAAGGAAACCAAGACCTGAAGAGGCCAGAACAGAAAACTTGTCTAAGGAGGCACAAACTCTGGTTCATAGGGAGGGAGTCTTGGCAAAGGAGGGTGGCTCCTGCAGCCCTTGGACCCAATGATGTCTTTCCCACAGGGATATTTCCTGGCTGGCACCTGAGCTATGTCGATGTAAAGGACAACTCCCGTGATGAGACCTTCCGCTTCCAGTGTGACCGCTGGCTCTCCAAGAGTGAGGGCGACAGGCAGACAGTTCGTGACATTCCATGTGCTAACAACGAGATCCGAGAAGAGCTGGAGGAGACCAGTATGTGGAGACTATGTGGGCCTGGCTGCCCTGTGATACTGGGCTGAGTCTTCAAATTAGAGAAGGGTTGGCTTGGGAGGAGGTGAAAAGCAGTGTGGCAATGAAAAGACAAAGCACAGCGGGAGGGGAATCAGAAGCTCAGTGCGGGAGCCACTTCGTGGTAGGGAGGAGGATGTCTTAGTCAACACTTCAGTGTTGCTTGGTGAGTCTGGAACTGTGAAAATACTGATGTCAATTCATGGCCCTGAATCACAGGAACTAATTAGGTAGCATGAAACTCAATGGGGATAAGTTCACCCTGACCTGCAGGCTATGCTGGGCTGTGCGGTTCAGTGTGAAGTCCTCCCTGGTTTATTTTTATAACATGAACTAAATTCAATTCATGCCTGTGGTAGTGGCTGCTGAATCCAGCCTTCCTAGAAACAGAGCACAAGAGGAGCAAGTATTTCCATTGGCCACACTCTTTGTCCCTCCTTCAGGGGATATTCAAAGGGAAAGAGTAATTGATCCCTACAGTGGATGGCCATCAAGGCCTGGGGAAATGTGTTCTTAATACACATGCCAGAATCTGGGCCCAGCTCCCTGGAAGGAGGCTCACCAAAAGTAGAACTAGTGCAAAGAGGGGATTTTTTTTCCCCAGTCTTATTTTCCAACCTTTTCAAATAAGAGGTAAGCCCCCAAACCTCAGTGTCTCAGCACAGCAGACTTTCTTACTCACTTCTGTAATACACAGTACAGGGTGGGTGTTTAATGGGAGGACTGCCATGGTATGACTTAAAGACCAAATCTCCTTCCATCTAATTATCTGCCATTTCCAACATGTGGCTTCCACATTTCTTGCAAAAGGGAGAGATCCTGGAGAATGCTCTCCCCTGCCATCTTAACACAGTAACTCACATTCTATTGGTGAATGCTAGTCATGTGACTTTGCCAGGTACAAGAGTACCTGGGACCTATGATTCCTGATTGTCAGCCTCTTGTGCAGAAGCACCTTCCACCACGGAAGGGAAGTGTTCATGGTTGGTGAAGATAACTACCTGTCTCTGCCAGATCATTCAAACTGCCCACAAATGAAATTAGCTGTCTTCAGAGGTAGTCTTCCCTGAGTCCCTAGGGCCATTCAAACAAGGTTGGCCACATATTTGTCGAATTTCCTATAAGGAAATTCCTGCTCTAATTCAGAGGGTGGGCCCACATTTTCATCAGTGTTCTTCCTGAGGAGTCACTGGATATCCAGTTTTATTGTGCATGCTATAAGTGATGCACGCTACCTGTGATCCCTTGAATGTTTGTACTGACCTTTAAACTTCTGTTAGTCTCTCTGTATTACCTAAAATCCCCCACAGATCAAGGACAGCTTCACTCATGTGTGTCTCCCTCTGTTAGGTTCGGGTCTTAATGAATGTTCAGTGAGTTGATGCCCAATGAGTAAAATATGTGGTCCTTTTTCTCAGACCCTCACAATGCAGTGAGAGGAAGAATCACCTCACATCCCTCTCACAACAGCTGGGATCAGCAATAGAGACTCCTCAGACCATTGGTGTTATAGGAATAAGAGATTTTTAAGGCTGGAGCAAAATAGCTAAGTCACCTTCTCAGATTTCCAAACATGCAAATAGCCGCTGAACCCCTCGGGATTAGGTTGACATGGAGGTTGCAGAGAGAGGTGTTCGTTCTGGAAGGATGTGTAGGTCTGGGAGATGGGAGGGCAGGAGCATCAGCCAGGAGAGGGCTAGATAGGTGTGTCATTGCCACCAGCCTGCAGGGGGCAGCACAGCACATTCTGAGCTGCCCTTGGAGATAGGCAGCCACAACTGCTTTCTCTGGAGACTTGCCCAGGGGATTGTCGTGGACTCAGCTTGAGCCCAACATCCCAACTCACAGCTACTCTTATTTAAGTAACCATGAGACAAACCCATGGTAAACACCCAGAAGCCATGCCTATCCTGGCTTCAGGGGGCACATGTGAATAAAACAAAGACCCTACCCTTATGGTTCTTGTCATTTTCAAATGCCCTATGCATTTACATCCCTGAGCATCTTTTGTCTGTTTTCTCTCAGCCACCTGTAGTCCAGGTTGAGAGTCAGAACTTCCCCATTGTTATCAAGCCATTGATGACATGGGTAAGAAAGCAAGATGAAACATATACACTTTGAATCTTCCTCTACCATGACTTTTGATGCAGCTAGCAACCTTTGTTTCTAACCTTCAGAAGTTTGTTCACTTACAAGCCCAACTCTCAGGATCATCAGAAAAGGATTTGCTGCGATGCATATGCACCTCACCTGCAGCTTGTCTCCCACATCTCCTATTTGAGTTCATTGTGATTAGCACGGAGTTTCTTAATGCTTCTTGTCTCCTCCCGAGGTGCAGACAAATCATTTCCTTCACAGAACCCAAGATCCACCCTGAAGTCACCAAGGTCTATTTGCATATCTTAGCTTCTGTGGGAAAACAAAGTGGCAGTGGGCCAGCCCTGCTGCTGTGATGGCTTTAGTTGATGTGAACTGGACTGGAATCTGTTGCTGCAGGACTGTATGGATCACTTTCTCTATCCTTGGCTACCTGCTTCTTTTCCTGGTACACTCTACCTGTTCCACAGAGCAGGGATTTTCCTTGAGAGAAGTTATGAGGGCAAAGGGGCTTCTAGGGGTGCTGACTGATGTAATGCTGGGCTACAGGCTTAGCATCTCTCACCTCCATTGTCTAGATCCTGTCTCTGAGATGTAAGCAGAGAAACAGAGTGTTTCCTTTGGATCTAGAATCCCAAACCCTCAAGGATCCATTGACTTCACCAAGAACTATATCTAAAGAGATACCCCAGACAAATACTTAATTTTTTCTTCTGCCTGGACCCTGGAGACAGGGGCTACATTGTCACATCACACCACCTCAGAATTTTTGCCTGTTTTCTTTCCTATGCCTGGAACATTCCTCCAACTTCTGCGGATTATAACCGTGGGTCTTCTCCAAGGCCATGCTCAAATCCCCTACCTTACTGAAGCTTCCTGTGATTAGGCCAATCATTCATTCCTTTAATTACTAAATATTTGAGGGCCTAAAATGTGCCAGGGGTGGTTGTGGACACTTAGGAATCTATCAGCAAGCAAAAAGAGGATTCCTGCCTTCAGGGAGCTTACATTCAAATATCAGCAATAAACAAATATGCAACAAAACAATGAATAATAAGTAATATTGTTTATTAACAAATAAAATAATGAACAAAATGGTGTAGAATGTTATAAGTTGATGAGCACAAGAGAAAATAGAAGATAAGACAGACCCAGAAGAATCAGATTGCAATTTTAGTCACAGTGGTCAAGTGGGCCTCCCTGAGCAGGTGGCATTTGGGTAAGGAGGAGAGGAAGGAGTGAGGCAAGCTGCTCTGGGGGAGTGTGCCATGCAAAGGGAAGGAGCACTATGGAAATCTAAGGCAGAGGTGATGGAGAGGGCAAGAGAGAAAGCACTAGTAGTTCAGATGGCAGAGGTCAGGGGAGCCAGTTTCCTCACACTCCACAGCAATTCACACTATACTTTGTTGCTAGGTTATCATGCTGTGTCTCATGGTATGGTCAGTGTTTACACCTAGGGCTAGAATGAGTTCTAGTGTTACCACAGTAGGACCCATTCCTCACACTGGGTACCCCCTGCACAAAGGTTGGATGAATGAATGTCTGTGTAGACATGCTTAGCAGAGCACCAGGGGAGGGAGGTTGCAATGAAGCATACAGGATGGGGCTGCATGCTGGAGTGAGTTGAGGGCTCTCCTGAGGTCTTTTGCCTGCTAGGACTTTCCCCATTGCTTTCCCAAGCTGGGCTCCACCCTCTCCACCTCTCCCTTGTCTTTTTAGCATATGATCCCCATGTTGCACCATTGGTGATTTCCCCATCCCCAAGAGTCAAGCCTCACTATCTCTCAAGAATTCATCCCCACCTACAGCTTCATTCCCAGCAGCTCCCAAATTCACCAGCAAAGAGGTTGCTACTATAAATAAAGTAGGAAGGCTCACCCTAGCCACAGAACCAGGAAGCTCTACTTACAGCTCCTGATTGTGGCCAGTCTGACCTGCTTCTCCATTCCCAGGTCACGGCTCAGGGTCAGGCAAAAGCCCTTGAGAGAGTGGCTGTTGGGCTCCCAAGGTAGGCGACTGCTTCCCCCTGTTGACCCTCTCCCACTTCCTCCACTGCAGCCTACGAGATCGTCATAGAAACGGGCAACGGGGGAGAAACCAGGGAGAACGTCTGGCTCATCCTGGAGGGCAGAAAAAACCGCTCCAAAGAGTTTCTTGTGGAAAATTCTTCCAGACCTTCAGAAAGGGCCTTCAGAAAGTAGGAGGAGGGGTGCCTATAAGGGATGGGTGTGGGGTGGGGAAGAGAAAGACTCCAAGTATCTCCTACCTTGGGGGAACCATATGGTACAAATGGTCCTAATCAGCAAGTACTGACTGGGTACCTACTGTGTGCCTGGGCCAGTCCTATTCTCTGCAAACATAATTCTCCATCCACATAGACAGAGCTCAACTCCTCACCTCCTTCCACCACAGGTACCCCAAGCCCACTTCATCTGCTATCTTCAGAACTGCCTGCTTAGTTTCCACCTCTCCCTCAACTCCACTGGCCCTTTGTCTTTGTCCATTCAAGCTGCTATAACAGAACGTCACTGTCAAGCAACTTATAGGCAGTAGTGACTCTTCTCACAGTTCCAGAGGCTGGAAGATCAAAGTACCATCAGATTCAAAGTCTAGTGGGGACCTACCTCCTAGTTCATAAAGCCATCCCCACTGGGTTCCCACATGACAGAGGGGTGAGGGCGCTCTCCAGGGTTGCTTTTCTAGGGCACTAGTCTAATTTATGAGGGCCCCACCCTCATCACCTGATCATTTTCCAAGGCTCTCACCATCACATTGGGGTTTAGGTTTCAACACATGGATTTTGGAGGAAAATAAGCTGTCAGCTTATAGTAAATTTACTTTCCAGGACAAACTGTGAGCTCCTTATGCATGCACTTGCAGACCACCATAGATTGCCCATACTCCCACCCTTGCAACATCAGTTCCTCAACTTAACTCAAATTCCACCCAAGCCTCCATGCCTCAATATCATTTCTCCCACTGATTCCAAATTGCCCCCAAGCCAGCCGTGCCTCCATACCCTTCTGTTCCCATCCATGACATTGATAATACAGTCTACATCATTGGACACCTGCTTTCTCCTCTGCTTTCTGCTCCTTAAATCTCACCACCGTTCTCAGCTCTATACCTGTGATGTCACCCTCCTCCCTGTTCCTTTCCACTTAACAACACTGCTCTTCATTGGTGTAGAACCAGGCAGATGGTAGGGTTTTTAATTCTCAGTGTTATGTTCCAAAATTAGGCTGCATCCCTCAAGGAGTGCAGGACTGACATCAGGCCTTGCCTGCCATCCTACCCTGGAATACAATAAGCACTCAGTAAATGCTTGCATTCTTCAGTGGGTTTGGGCAGTTCACTAAACACACCTTTGTTTATTGCAGAGGGACTACAGACACATTTGAGTTTGACAGCATCTATTTAGGGGACATTGCCTCCATCTGCGTGGGTCACCTGGCCAGGGAGGACCGCTTCATCCCCAAGAGAGAGCTGGTCTGGCATGTCAAGACCATCACCATCACCGAGATGGAGTACAACAATGTGTATGTATGGTACGGGGCAGGGATGGAGGCTGGACCATGGATAAGAGGACAGGTGTAAGGAGGTGGTCCCTTCAAGGATGAGGCCATCCCATTCTGGAGGCCTACAAAACAAGATGAGAAGAGGCAGCTGTCCTGTTCTGGAGCTGTTTATACTATGACTGTACCACCAGAGGGAAGCTATTAGACTAAGAGACCTTAGTATCCAATCTTTGAATCCAGGGAGGCTGCCCTGGAATAATGCTGAGAAAGCCACATGGTGCCAGATAGCAGAGCTTTGCCTCCCTCCCTTCCTTTGCTTCAACTATAATGATGCAGAAAAGCAGCTTTAAGGCCTGCTGCTCAGGTGGTCACAGTGACAGCCTCCGGGGTAGGCAGCAGGGGACCAGAGACAAGCAGAGGGCACAGCACGGATCCCTATGAAGGACTCTGCCTCTCTCCCATCAGGGCTTTCTGGAGACTCAGACATTTCTGGTGGATTAGGAGCCTTAGTTACCCAGGCAACATAGGCACAGCTGGCAATTCATCTCATTAATACCACTTGATAACCATGCTGGAAGCCACAAAGGGCCCTGAAGCTGTGGAAGGTCAGGAAGACTCAAAGAAGCAGTCAGGGAAGGTGGAGAGAGAAAGCCAAGGCCAAGGCTGCTTGCCTGGGGAGAGTGAGAAATTGCTGAGTATGCTAGCCTGCCTCTGCTTGCTGGGGCATCTTGCCCAGGACCACTCCTGACTCCTCTCCCACCACATCCCCTCCTGGGGCCAGCCCTACCCATTCATACACTGGAACCTTTCCCATCCCTGAAGCCAGGCACAGGCCTCAGGACTCAGGCCAGTCCCCTTGTCTTAGGCTATGACTTCAGAAGCTCAAGCAATGGCTGTCTATGCCCAACCTGTGACCTGCAGGCTCCCTGCATTTGTCTCCCCTAGATGAAGCTTCCTCTAGGGATTTGGGCAGATCTGGCCTCTGCCCTTCTGTCTTAGTCAGTTTAGGCTGCCACAATAAAACAGCATAGACTGGAAAGCGCAAGCAACACTTATTTTGCACAGTGACAGAAGTTGGAAGTCCAAGATTAGGGTGCCGGCATGGTGGGTTCTGGTGAGGGCATACTTCCAGGCTTCCAGACAGACAGCTGCTCATGTTTCTGCATGGCAGATAGCAAGCTTTGGTGCCTCTTCCTCTTCTTTCTTGGGGTGCTAATCCCATCACAAGGGCTGTGCTCTCATGACGTCATCTAACCCTAATCATCTCTTGAATGATCTATCTCCAAATAGCGTCACATTGGTAGTCAAGGACTCAACACTTGGATTTGGAGGGGGACATAATTTAGTCCACAGCAACTTCTCTCTGGGCTGCAACATTATTTGTTGCTCTTTTAGAAAGAACCCAGACTGTGTACAATAAATCCTACAGAAGTCACTGGATATGGGTTGAGGGCTGAGAGAGCAGCTCCAGGAGCTAAGGACTCATTTAGAGAGTCAGGTCCAGGTCTCAGGCCCTTGGATGGGCTGGTGTTGCCTCCCTACCCTGAGGAGCCTGCCTTCTGATGCTGCCCCTCTGTAAATGCCCAGTATAAGCTAATGAAATAACGACATGAAGTATCATCCCTCAAAGTACCATTAAACCTACGAGAGAAGGAGGGAGGGAAGGAGAGAGAGAGAGAGAAAGAGAAAAAGAGACAGAGAAAGAGAGGTTGCAGCACCTTCTGGCAATTTTAGCTTCAGGAGGAAGGGGAAGCTCCCCACAGTCCTGGGTCAAGTTATGGGATTTTTGTACCCAGTAGAAAGAAGCAGCATCTTTTCCTGCCTTTGTCTGCTCTTGGGCGGGGCTGGGGAGGAAGAAAGAGATATCCATGAGGAGGGCTCTCACTGAAATGAAGGAGTCCGGGCCTCTGGATCTGAAGTTGTCATCACATAGCTGTGTGACCTCAAGCAATTGCCCATCCCCTCTTTGGACCTCACTCTCCTTGTTGCCCCTTTGAGTGTGACCAGAGGGAAACAAAGGCAGGAATACCAACTTGGGGTGTCCTCAGATGTCCCAGCCCACCTCTGCCTGTGCAGGTCATGAGTCTGTGGCTTCTGAGAATGAAAACCTGTCTCTTTCCAGAAATATCACCTTCATTCACCTGGGGAACTTTGAGGATGGGCTTAATCATCGCAGCTATTTCCGTGGCAATATTCTAGGACCTGCTTCTATTCCACATTATAAATACCTCTTAGCACTGTGCATGTGTCACAGTTCCATCCCAGCTACCACCTTAGCCATATTTGGGCATCTGTGAATTACAAATGAATTTAATCCTAATCTCTTGTAAGCACAATAACCTCAAATTTCTGTCCTCCAAAGTTTCCCATTCTGACACTAGTTTTACAGTGTGCTTTGTACCTTTCTCTCCAGTTCTCGTTTGTCATTATTGTATTCAGCATTTTGGAGGAAAGGCACACAGGGCAGGTTTTATTTATTTATTTACTAAATAAAAAAACCACTTTTATGGTTTTACTTTAATAGTATATCTAATTTACAATCATTATAAAAGTTGAAGTTGGGCCAGGGACTTAGCTCAGCAGCATAAGTGCCTGCCTTGCAAGCGTGCTATCGTGAGTTCAATTCCCAGTACAAAAAAAAAAAAAAAGTTCAAGTCATAGCAAAATAGAGAAAAGAAAGTACAATTTCCTTAAAGCCCTACCCACCAGAGATGACCACCATGAGCACTGAATTCCTTTTCCCTGGCAGTTTTCTAATATTTCACATATACAATGTCCACAGAAAACTGATCATGTTACATATATTTTTATTGCAATCATTTTTTCCTCTTCTTCTTTTGCTCTTGCCTTTATTCTTACTGGCTAACCTACCCTCAGCCCCAGCTAGATCCTTGGTCCCACCAAATCTTTAAGACACATTTTTGTAATCTTCTAATTATGTCTATTACAAAACATTTCCTTCTATCTACACCAGGGAATATTTTTTAACAATTCAAAATACTGAATTAAATATGTACCAGATGACTTGGAGAAATTCCCAGGAAGTATTGTTGAGAGAAAAAGGCAAGATACAAGCAAACACGTCTCATGTGGTGCTGTTTAGTAGAGGGAATACTGACATCCCCATTTGTCCCTGTGTAGGGGTCCAGGCAAGACTGGGTGGATGGAAGGGGCTTTGGCAGTCTGTACTCTCAGTTGTCACACAGGTTATCTGAGGTAAAGGTAGGGTGCTGAAGGAGAAAGGAGGAGAAAGAAAGAGACAGAACTGAACAAAAAGGAAAAGAAAAAGAGTGCATTTGGAGAAGTGTACAAGCATTTACATAGAGCTATGTATATTGGTGCATAAAGAAATACATGTTTAAAAAAATTTATACAAAGAATGCAAGCATGTCAACCTCCAAGAAATTCTGGTATATAATAAAAATCCAAATGCATTAAATGGGGAAGAGAGATCTCAAAACAAACCAAGGGTTTCCTGTGAAGCATCTTCAAACGGCTTGCTCTTCAGAGGCAGACAGGCTTCTGGCTCCAATCATCCTAGAAAGTGACTTTTCTCCACCAAGCCTTTGTTCCACCTTCCATGAAATGTGAGGATGATGCCAGAGCTGTTAAGGAGATTCAAAAATGCAAGGCCCTGGACTTTGGTAAGAAGCCAGATATTTTCTTATCTAGGGCTGGAAGTGTAGCTCAGGGGTGGAATATGTGTTGAGACCCTGGTTCAACGCCTGTTCCAAAGCAAAAATTGCCTAAAATGTGGCTTGATTTTTCACTATTTGATACAATTTTTCCATTGCTGCATTCCTGAAGTCACTAGCCAATGCCAGAAACACATTTTTTCTCTTTCTTTCTCTTTTTCATTTTTTAAATTTTATTTATTGTATGTATCTGTCAACCTATTAATCACGTTAGTCATAAGGAATTTGTACCTGTACCTAATACATCTTGAGTCTTCTTTTTACCTCATTCCCATTTATAGAAGTTTTGTTTCCATTTTGTCCTTCTTTTTCCTTTTCCCCTCCTTCCTTTCCACCTCCATCTCCCTTGTTCCCCTTCCCAGTTGAACATTTTCTTCCATCTTCCCAATATCTATCCTCCATAATGCTCCTTATTTATCCTTTGGGCTTCTCACACTAGAGAAACAATGCGATATTTAAACTTTTGTTTCCAATTTATTTTGCTTAACATTATGGTCCCGAGGTAGGACTGCTATTTTTAAATGTACTAGAATTTGATGTGTGAAGAAACTATAGCAATTGTTCCTTCCAAACCTAGGAAGCAAGAAGCAGAAAGACCAGTTAGGATGCCCTCAGTATTCTCCAAGCAGATGATGGTAACAACTTGAACCGGAGCAGGATAGGAAGTGAGATACTGGGTAGTTTTTCAAGTGATTTTGGATCCAGGTTGAACAGGGAGATAATGAGCTTTCTTCATAAATAGAAAATAGAGTGTGGATGACAAGAAAAGAGGCAGAAAAATGAAGGAACAACAGAAAGGATGAGATGTCACTCCACTGTAAATTTTAAAGTGGACACCAGATTCAGATTTTAAAGCCAGTAGTTCCCAGCCTCAATATCCTGGGCTGGAATCCCAGGAAAGAATTGTTTATGGATGACCAGGATCTACAGGGAAGGATGTGACCCTGAGCACCCTTCTCTCCCACTCTTCACTAGGTACTTCTTTAACTGCGACTGCCTCATCCCTCTCAAGAGGAAGAGGAAATACTTCAAGGTGTTTGAGGTTACCAAGACAACAGAGAGCTTCGCCAGCAAGATCCAGAGCTTGGTCCCCGTCAAGTACGAGGTCATTGTGACTACAGGCTATGAGCCAGGGGCAGGTACTGATGCCAATGTCTTTGTGACCATCTTTGGGGCCAATGGGGACACAGGCAAGCGGGAGCTGAAGCAGAAAATGTGCAACCTCTTCGAGCGGGGCAGCACTGACCGCTTCTTCCTGGACACACTGGAGCTAGGCGAGCTGCGCAAGGTACGACTGGAACATGATGGCAGTGGCTACTTCTCGGGCTGGCTGGTGGACAAGGTGGAGGTCACCAACACCAGCACTGGAGTGGCCACTATCTTCACCTGTGGCAGGTGGCTGGACAAGAACAGGGGGGATGGACTTACCTGGAGAGACCTCTTCCCTTCTGTGTGAGAGGCAAGGGCTTGGCCAAAGCTTCCTGCGTGCACCTTGGTGTTCAGGCAAGACTTCCTGAGACTTCCAGGGGCAGAGACCAGGGACCAGCAGTCCACTTAAGAACCTCCTGACCTTTAAGAGGCAACTACTTGTGTGGGTGATTATCTGTGGGGATTTGCTTCCAATCTGTTGAATGTATAACAATCGTAATTAGCATGTATCATACTCTGTGACTGCTCAAAAGTATCCTATTGCATTTCCTTTCCATGCAATAAGAATGGTGGCCAGGATGGATGGAAAAGTGGGGCTCCTCTCCCAGGGGAGAGAAGTGGGGAAGGAGAAGCCATCAAGATGGTATATTTTAAGCAAAATCTAATTAACACTTTTTTTTCCCAAAAAGCTGGGCTAATTATTATCAACCACACCCCACAAAGAACTCATCATAGCATCTGCTCACTGACAAATGTATGCTTTTCCCTTGAGTCAATAAATCAAGTGGCAAATGGAGAAAAGTATCAAGAGGAAGCGTTTTGGGAGATTTATGAGCCTGTGGGAAGTAGATAATTTTTCTGCCACTGTAAAGTGAACACGTGGGTAAGGAGCTGCTGGTTAGCCCTGATGCAACTGAGACAGGCACAAGGGGATGGAAGCAGCACCTGCAACAGCCCAGCCTCTACTAGTGTGAGCCAGGAGGGCTAGTTCACCCATGATGCCTGTGGCTCTCCGAGGGCAGATTTGAACTGAAAGAAGAGGGGATCAGATACAAAACAGACACGGTCTCTGCCCTCATGAAGGACACGACCTTGATGGAGAAGCATACGAAGCACATACTTGTGCATGCACAAGAATACACACACACACAAGCACATTCACATATGCACCCTCATACATGTATACACAGATGGACACGGGTATACATACTTTCCCTGGTCAACTGTCACAGACTCAGGTAAAACTCAGGCAGAGCTCAGTCTCTGACTTCTGCTTTCCTGCAGGCAGCAGGACAGCAAGAATGAGAGCCACGTGGGGAGTCTCCCTCCAGTAAGATGCCTGTTCTAGCTTCTGCAGCACAGCAGTACTACCTGGGCTCTCTACCCTAGACTGATCTGCACTTTTAGTGAGGCTCTGTGACTCTGGGGACAAGAGGCTCTCTTAGGGAACTCTTAGGGTTCTCCTGGGGAGCTAAAATGCACAGGCTCCAAGGACAGATTACTTGGCCTGTGTCCTAGCTCTGCCTCTCCGCAGCCCTGAGACCTGGGGCACATCATTTCGTTGCTGAAGGTGATGGTCCCAAACTCCTCTGCATGCCAATACATAATAGAAAGTCTAACACTTGGTGTCACAAAATCTGTTTCCAATCTATAACTCAGTGTCCAGTGCAAATAGAAAGATTAAAACATCAAATTAAAATGAGCCTCCTTCCAACCCTATGGGGAAGGAGGGCTGAGACTGTGATGTGTGTGTAAACGAGGTGAATATGGATATGTATGTGCAAGTGCATGAACATGTGTACACTAAGTGTGTGAGTCAGCCTCACCTCTCCCCCCTGCCTTGTCCTACTCCTCTGTCCCCCTACCTGCCTCCCAGTTTCTGACTCCCGTAGGGCAGGTCCAGAGGTGAAAAATGAGGAGTCTTCCAATTCCATGTGTCACTACAGTTATGATAACTGACAGAATCTTTTGGCACAGAAACAACGGAAATGAGATCATGCCAAGTACTGGGAGTACATAATATTTCGCACAGGTGAAACTTTGTGGAGATGGGGAAGTTAGCTTAATGGGCCTGCAAGTGAAGGGAATCAGCTTTGACTGAGAGTGAGTGACCAAGGTGCTCAAAGAACAGAGAGCTTTTATTGATTTCCTGGGGAGTAGTTGGCGAATGTCCAATACTTTTCATTGGCCAGTGGAAGCATCCTAAAAGAAATTTCCTCTTGTGACCACTAGGTGATCATGGGCACCACGTCCTAGGAATTTCTGGGTTAGACTTACAGTTGGTACCATCATCCTGTGTGAGTAAAAACTTTAGGAGCCTGGACTGGCACAAGGCACAAGGATGAGGGCAGAAAAGATAGGTGAGAGAAAGAAAAGGAAGCATCCACCAGCTCGAACAGGCAGTAGGCCAAATTATCCCTGTAGTTTGGACATAACATTTTTCAAATGATCAATATGTGTATGTATGAAATCTATAGCATTTGACCCAAGAGCTAAGACAGCAAAAGGGACAGACATAAACATAGATAGAGATGCCATCTTAGTCACTTGTCATATCTCTGTAGGTTCAAATGAAGGATCAGTGTTTTTAGCAAAAGTGGCCTTCCAGTCCCCCAAAAGAAATCTAGGCAACTAAGCATTAGTGGTGTTGTCTATGGCAAACTTAGTAGGAAATGTAAAATGTGTTACACAGCTGTGTGATCTCCAAAATTAGTGATTTTTAAGTTAACTGAGGCAACTGAAGCTAGAGGTTTTATCCAGGACTTTTTTTTCTCAGTAACAATTCCATCATCTTGTGCAAACATTTTCTTTTAGTACTTTTATCAAGATGTCACAATGAGTCTGTTGAAAAAGCACAAAACTAGAGAAGCAACGTGCCATGTTAGCAAGGGTAATAGCTGCATCCAGAGTTTGTTTTGCTGTCCTTGCCTTTTGCCCACCACAGTGGTCCCTAATGGTTCCATTTGATGTCTTTCTTTCTGGACTTGGTAGGCATTTGGACTTTGGGTCATGAGCATTTCCAGGGATTTGGGCCTCCATGCTAACTTCATGGTTAGGCTCCAGGATGCTCTACAAAAGGTCCTGGCATCCTTGCTCTGATAAACTTTGGGCATCCGGGCCTCTCATCTCTCTGCCCTCAGTTGCCAGCCCATCTCTCATCTTTCTGGTTTCTCCAGATGCAATGGGCCACTGTGTCAGCTCAGGTGGATCCACGTGTTCTCCAGACAGCCCTACTAAACCCCTGTCACTCCCCTTGGGTAAAAGAGCAGCTAACAGCCCCCTGACAGTTTTCTTCCTCATATCCACTGCTCCACCCACCCTCTCATGCCTCATTACAACCAGGAGAAGGTTGCTCAGCTCAGAGTGCAAACCAATTTTCTGCCATGTCTCTTTGGCCAAACCTGCACAGTGGTCTCACTGCAGAATGTGGCATCTGTTGTCTCTTGATTTAACCAAAAGTAGTACAGGAAGAGCCCCAAATTCTTTTCCTGCCCCAGTGGATTTCTGGGCAGGTGTTTCTGGGCAGAGTACTATGTGCCTTTAGTCAGTTTTCTTGCCATCCCTGCCTGCTCTGGCTTCTCTGTTTTCCTCACAGAGTTTTTCAGGATCTGTTAGAGCTATTACTGTGAAAGCTTCATTAAAAATTGTTTTGCTCCGCTCTGGTTCGCTGTCATTGCTAGAGATAGTAATGACTTTGGCATCTTCCCTGCTTCCATCACCCATGGGGCCCCTTCCACCTTCCATTCCCCTACCTGAGTCTCTAGATTGCTGCAACTTGGGCCACCTCTGTCTTGGGCTAGTTGTTCACAGCTCCAAGCCCAGTACTCTGTGCTCCAACAATGATATAGACACACTCCTCAGCTAGGACTGTACCCTCTGCTGGAACTCTCCACCCCTCCATTCCACTAGGCCCTGTGCTTCACATGTTTTTATGTTTCAGTTCAAAGGTCTCTACTTGTTGCCAGGAAGTTTCCCTTATCACTCTCACCAAGACAGGAGCCTCTCGCTGTGCACTTCTAGGAGAGGTGTGTTGGGACTGAGTGCCTGTCCAACAGGATCTTTAAGAAGGGCTAGGTCTGATTCATCTTTGTAACTCCAACATTTACCACGGTCCCAGTATATAGGACATGTATGAAACGTATATGCATTGGAGGATGGATGGATGGAGGGAGGGGGAAGGGAGGTTGGATGGGTTGGAGGGTGGATGGGTGGATGGACGGGGAGGTGGTTGGATAGTTGGGTGGTGAGTAGATGAGAGGGTAGGTGGATGGGTGTAGACAGATGAGTCTATTTCAGGATTTGGAATACCTTTTCTGATGAGATTCATTACAGCTCAAGGTTGTGGTGTCACCAAATCTCAACATCTCTGTTTAGAATACTTTTAAGAGTTAACTTTTTTTGATACCTGAGCTATTTTCCAAGAATTCCTTCCTAGCCAGTCTGGGTCATTTCTCCAGAGGCCTATTGCCTAAACTTCTAGCAGCCTATCTCTCCTTTAATGGAATTTCCAAATTCATGAACCCCAGATTTCAAATTCTTTTTGAGTTGTGTATGTTATATAATTAGCTTGAGCTTACTCTTGGGTGCATGGATGAGACTATTCAGGATTCCTCAGGAAATATCTCTACATTCTCAGGGAATAAAAAAGGGTAACACTAATAGTCCTGATCCAACACAGAGCCATTCACTAGAAGTCACTCCTTGTCATTTATCTATTCAATAAATATTTATTGAGCATCTGCCTCGCCAAGCAATGCCGAGCATACAGAGGCAAGCAAAAGAGATAAAAATCCTGGCCTCATGGAATTTATATTCCAACTGTAGGAAACAGAGTAAATAAATAAGCTTTATGGTATGTTTGATAGAAATCTGCAACCCAGAAATTGAAGTTGGGAAAAGACATAGATGGGAGTAGGGAGGTGGTGGCAACTGTAAGTCAAGTGGTGGAAAGTTGACATTGAGTAAATAAACCTCTAAAGGACAGGATATGATGCTGTGCTGACAGCTGAGAGAATAACACCCCAGGCAAAGAGAAGAGCAAAGGTAAGCCAGGAACACTGGGTGAAGTCCAAAGTCAGGGTGGCAGAAGCAGAATAAGCTAGAAAGAGCCAACAGGAAAAGTCAGAACAGCGACAAGTTCTGTAGGACCTCGGAGACCCTTGAAAGTCTCTGCCTTGTACTCTGAAAGACATGGAAAGTTATTGGAGCTTCGGGCAGAGAATGGCATCCTCTAACTTTCTTCTCACCTGGATCACTCAGGCTGCTCCACTGAAAACAGAGTACAGGGCAGCATCTGGGATAGAGACTAAAAGACTACAGCAATGGTCTAAGCAAGAGATGAGGGTGGCTCAGAACAGCGTGGTGGTAGTGAAAGTAGCTCAAAGTGGTCAGATTCTGGGTCTGTTTTGAAGACAGAGCCAGAGGACTTGCTGAGGAATTAAATATGAGATCAAGAAAGGAGCTGGCGGTATTATTAAAATGCTTTAGCTATGCGCTTGGAAAGAGAGAGTTGTCATTTCTTGAAATTGAAAAGACTATGGGGGAAGCATGAGTTTGGGGCTTGCTGGCTTTTGTTTTGTAGATAAGGAGCAAGTAGAAGCTTACCGTGAGCTGTCTCTTAGACAGAGAAGTAGGCAGGCAGTTGAATACAAGCCCCACATCCAGGGGACTGGTGGAGCATCTATGATGACGTACTTGGGTGAGGGGATTCTCCCAATTTCCCCCACTTTCCTGAGCACCTCTGGATACCCATAGAATAGCTCCAAGGGCCAAGGACCATGACTCAGAATTGTAGGGAAGCAGTGTAGGGTAAGAGTTGAGGGTTCTGGAGTATGGGTTCAAATCTTATCCTTTCTTCCTAGCTGTGTAACCTTGAGCAAGTCATGGATCCTCCCTGTTCCTCCTGAAAACTAAAGATAATCCCAGTAATGGAGGGTTCTTGTAAAACTAACTAGGACAGTTCATGCAACCAGCTTGACATGGTGCCTGGTGGCTGGAAAGGGATTAGGAGGTGTTAATTGTAGTTGTCCTCGGTTCCAGCCCTGTCCCTTACTGTCAGTGACTAAATACTCTTCAGGTTTCTTCCTTCTTTGTTCTGCTATGGCTCCTACAAGGACAGGGCCTTAAGGCTGAGCCTTTCACTTTTTGGAATCTATTGAAAGTACTCCATCCCTGTAGAGGGAGAGGTTGCCAGGCAGTTGCTGAAACAACTTCAGTCTCAGGAGTAAACAGTGAATCCGCTCTGGCAGGGCTGAATTATAGAGATAGTAATGACTTTGGCATCTTCACTGCTTCCATTTCCCTGGAAGTCCCTCTGCCCCCCTCCACCTGGACCTCGTCTTTTCCGATGCCTCCCGCCCTCCCAGTGCTCTTAGCTTTTGCCCTACCTCCTGCCCTTAGCCAAACTCTTCCCAGCCCAAGGAGCCAGCTCTTTCTAGTAA